AGAGAGAAACCAAGACCTGTCAATACCTTTGTGAGTGAACTTGGAAGCAGATCCACCAACCCCAATAAAGCCTTCAGAAGACTGCCGCCCCAATTGACAGCTTGAATAAAAGACCCTGAACCCAAGTCATCCAACTGAACTCACCTGGACTCCTGAACATCCAGAAACTTTAGGGTAACAAATGTGTTTTAAGCTGTTAAACTATGGGGTCATTTTTTAATGCATCCCTGTATAAGTAATAAAGTGCCCAGGTTAGAACAAGATCTAAGCCGGGCTCGGTGGCTCAGCCCGTAATCCCAAGCCTTTGGGAGGCTGAGGTAAGTGGATGTGTAGTGAGGAAAAATAGAGAGACCGTGACACTGAGACTATTATAGGAAGTGGCACTTTATTACGCTGGCTAGCACAGAGGGCTCAATGGAACTAATGCGTCCAGACCAAGCGCCCAAGAACCGGTGACCTGGGGTCTTATTCCCTCATTTAGGTAAGGGAGGGGGTTGTGTTGAGTGATTACGTATTTCCTTTGGAATCTTACAAGGTTGTATTCAGCAAAATCAGATTTTTTTTCAAAGAACAAATGGTTTCCAGGAACTGCAGGCTTGTAAACTGTCAACTTCAGAAGGGGGGTTTTAGATAAGACTCTTTTCCATTTCTATGAAATAGCCAGTCTCCAGGCCATTTGGCCTTTCTTAAACAAAACCTGCCTAGATGCAGGGTGGTCTTTAAAGCTGCAACTTGCCTTTCAAAAGGAAATATCTTTTAACTGCTATCAACCCCTCCTTCTTGCCACTGGGCTAGGGGCAGCCCAGGTGAGGTCAATTGCTGATCCCGAATCAGCTACGTGTTTCTGTGTTTATTCACTCAATCATACAAGAAATATATTTGAGCATTTGCCGTATCCTGCCACAGATTGCCTGAGCCCATGGGTTCGAGACCCGCCTGGGCAACTTGGCGAGACCTCATCTCTACAATAAATCAAAAATTAGCCAGGTGTGGTAGTGCGTGCCTGTAGTTCCAGCTACTTGGAAGGCTGAGGCAGAAGGATCACCAGAGCCTAGCAGGTCGAGGCTGAGGTGGCTGGAAGCGGCCACTGCACTCCAGTCTGGGCGACAGAGTGAGACTCAAACTCAAAAAAAAAAAAAAAAAAAGAAGAACAAGATCTGTTGGGTTCCTAACTCTAACCCCCCTGAATCTGCAATTTGAATACCCTTCTGCTCTGACTCATAACAATCCATTGTGTGGGTGTCCAGTCTATGAATTCTGCTGTTTCAGATACTTTCTCAACCTGAGACTTAATTCCAGTCTTTGGAATGTCTGTGTGTCACATATGGAACTAGTAACGGAAGACGGGGAAATTCCCTGCACATTATTTTCCATAAAACACTGGTCAGGTTTTCTGAACCTAGCAATTTACTAGCATCTTTTCCCTTCAAGAAAAACAAAGTGTATTTGCTGCTTCCCAACCTGCATATGTAATTTCGTATACTCTCCTCCTTCACACTTTTCAGTATCTTTTCAAGCAGTAAATTGTAAGTTAAGTGACAATGTGATCTTTGGGAATTGTGCTTTGTTTTTTCAATCAGTCATCTGATTTTTCCCCAGAGTGCACAATCTATTCCACTGTTGATTACTTCTTACTTGTCAGCATTACAGGTCCTGTGATTATTCAAGAATGACATTTTGTAAAACATAAGGCAGGAAACGCAAGAAAATAATGGTCACTCTGCCAAAGCCAATCACATGATCCTGACAGAAGCTTGGAGCCAGGCCAGTCAACACTAGCAGGAAATCATCTCATTGTATTTTGTGATTTAAGGGCATTAGAATTTCCTAATGCCCACGAATACCTTATGTGCACTTAGAAAAGTGATTTTACATTCTCTCTGAGTGTGAGGGGCCTTCAGGCATCTGAGTATGTGGCGAAGTGTGTGGGATGATGGAAGGAGAGGTTGGGGGTGGGAAGCAGAAAATGTCCAGATGCCTAACTTCCCTTATTGAGTTTGCTTCTTAGTTAATCACAGAACTCTAGGGATAGAACAAACTTCAAAAGATCATTAAAAATCTTCATCTTCTTTCAACTCCATAGCTATGTTTTCTTTAAAAGGGTTACGTTATTTGACTAGTATGATAAAGGGTTATCAGTGATGGTAGGTTTGTTAAGCACTGTGCTCAGAGCTCGGGCACTGGAGTTGGACCATCTTGGCTCAAAATCCATCCCTGTCATTTATTATTGTTTTTATTTTTCTTTTGCCTTTTCAGAAACTTCAATGGTCCCTTCTTTGGAAAACAGTGCTCTGCTTTTGGAATGATTCTCCCTCTCTAGTCTTGAGGCCCAGATCCTTTCCATCTCATATGCATTGCTTCATCAACTCTTCCTTTTGCCACCTAGTATACCCAGGTAATCTTTCCCAAGCTAGATGCAATTGAATTTTTACACTTGCAAAAGAATCCTGATTAATTCAGCTGTACTACTAGGTATTGTGATGTAAATAAAAGAAGAGGAAATTATGGTCTGATTGAAACATAAGACATATGAAGAAGAAAAAGATTAGAGAATCATATAAGATAGTATACAAATATAACTATTATAGTAACCAATTTCCAATTATCTGGCAGTATATTAACTCATTTGCAATATAAGTGCAATTTAAAAGCAATATTCCATTTGTGAAAAAATATAAAATATCTATTAGTTAATACCATATCAGAGACAATTTATAATATTATGCCACAGCCTGACATTCTGTTCTGTAGAAATCTGAGTTATACACTGTTGTTGAACATATAAAAGTTTAAGTGCAATTAAGATAACCTTAGCAATCGAAATGTTAGCACCTTGACATTGAAGAAAATATTTTAACAATTAGAAAAAAGGCAAGAGGGGGTAAATGTTAAGCAACTTGGATCCTTGCATTTAACAGCGTAGAAAAAAGAAGAGTCATGAAAAAAACTGTTTTTCTAAGAAGAGAAAAGTGGTTACGATTTGGGTCCATCACAAAAGACTCTGTGAATGGTCATTGTTTGGTTTGAACTGTACTAAACAAATATTTGCAGGCTTGAGAACAGAAGATAACTTCAATGTGTTATTTTGATTGGTATATATTCATATAATATCACTGGGTTTTCGGAGACCACATGGAAGAAAATGGCAATGACTAATGAAAACCTTGTTTGTAATTACTGAAAAATGGTAGCTTTGTGAGATTGCTCAGCATGAAAACAAAAATGATGGGATGGGGGACTCAGAGCAAAAGTAAAATTGGGATTTTTACTTCCAGACTATGGCTGGAAAATAAAGAACTCTAGAAAAGATAGTTTTTTTCATTGATAAACATGTCATGGGCTTTACTGTATTATATGAAAACAAAGAAGAACTTTGCTGTTTTTTGGTTGGGCAATTTGTGCGACAGTCTGTGTCCCTAAAAGTAGTTGTATCACATTTACCTTTCAAAGGAATCTATAGAGGGGAAAATATGTCCTAAAATATTGGGTATGTTATAAATATTACATTCATTTTGTATTGAATTTTTACTAACGCTTTTTTTTTTTTTTTTGAGTTGAAGTCTCACACTCCATCACCCAGGTTGGAGTGCAGTGGCATGCATATGCCTGCTCACAATTACCCCAGCATCGACCTGCTGGGCTCAGGTGAACCTTCTGCCTTAGCCTTCCAAGTCGCCAGAACTACAGACTAACTATTTTTACCGTGAATTTAGATTGTCCATGGCTACCTTCTCTTCTTTCAGCCCTCTATGACCCTCAATATTTCCATTAATTGAAAGTTAACTACACCATAACTGCGATAGGACTTCAAAGGCAGTGAGTACTGGTGAAAGCTGGGCTATTCAGCAATGGCTTCAAGGAGAAAGCAGGACTTGGCTTGGACCTTGATGAAAGAGAAGAATGACAAATAATTTTGAAGAATTAAGTTTTCTATCCATTCATTCAACCAATATTAAGCACCCCTATATGCTAGGCTCAGTTCTAAATACTGGGAATATAGTTATAAACAGAGTAGAATCTCTTCCTAAAGGTTAAGTTTATGTGCTGGTGAGAGGAACAGTATTCAAGTAAGCAAGTTTATTTAGAATTACAGTGGATGATAAGTGCTCTGAAGAAAACAGAGAAGCTGAGGGCATGGAGTGTGATGCAGGAGAGGGGACATTTACAACAGACTGTATGAGGAAATTGTGGAAGCCCAAGACATCAGGATGCCATGGGCAGGATTCTGTGTGAGGGGTGACAGTGGTCTAACAGTAGAGACGGTGAGAAGTGACCAGAAACAGCATTTATTGTGAAGAACTGATAGGACTTCTTGATGAATTGGATGCTAAGAGTCAAAGAGAGGAATCAAGAATATTTTTTAATCTGTGCAACTGGGTAAACGGTGGTGTCTTTTACTGAGATCAGAAATTCTCAAGGACAGTGAGTTTGAGGTTAAAAAAATTTTTCAGAATTCACTTTTACCAATGCTAATATTGGGATACCTATTAGACACCTAAGTGGAGATGTCCTGTCAGGAGTTGCTTATCTGAATCTAGATCTTAGAAAAATGTTTGAACCTGGAGATGTAAAATTAGGAGTATCTGTGTGGCAATAGTGTTTAACACAGAGATCTGTAGCTAATATAAGGATTTGTTGTTGTTGCTGTTGTTGTTTTCTCATGGACTTCTAACCATGCAGCCTCACACAAGTTGTTAAGAACAGAAAGAGTAGAAAATCATCTTTATGGAATCTAGCTTAAATTGAGTATTTTTTTACATTTGTTGATAAAAAGTGAGTGAAATGGTCCTGGTTGTTCAGAGATGACATCTAGGCCAGGAAACAGAAAAAGTTTTATTAGCAACATAAATTGCTATGCTAAACTGGTTCAGAACAAATGCAAACAAAACTAATGTTAGGATCACCATCTCTGAGCCAAGGAGCAAATTCTAACAGTGCTGTGACTATGGGGAGCTAACCAGGTCCCCAAGAGCCTAGCAGGAAGTCAATTACTCATCGCCATGACTACAGAATCCTTTGGGCCCAAGGTAGGACCTGGGTTCCTCAGAACTGGTCCAGGAAGATGGCTTTGTCTTCAAGTCTAGCAAATCTAATCAGGAGAGGACGCCTTAGTATAAATATAAAGCATACTAATTGAGATTTCTAATGCAAAGACATCATGAGGCCAGAGAAGGGAATAAATCATTGACACTGATTTAAAAATTAAGATAATAATTCTTGCAGATGTTAAAATGTACCTGAACATAGACATGAATAAAAAAGGAAGTATGTAGTTAAGTGTGTTAGAATTACGTGTGTGTCTAAAGTACGTAAAGTGTGTTAGAATTACGTGTGTCTGTCTAATCCAACCACAGCCACTCTTAACTACAGTACTTTCTTTTTCATATACACACACAGATATCCATAATTATGTCCCATGTCATAATACTTATTGCTTTTTGAACTCTATAATATGAATTCAGCCAGAGACTGGAACGGTGAACCTGAATTGTTGCTAGCATGTTTTCACTCATTCAGGTTGCTGATAACAAATTCTTTAGACTGGATAATTTTAAACAATAGAAATTCATTGTTGACAGATCTGGAGGCTGGCTTGGAAGTCCAAATCAAGGCGTCAGCAATTTTCTTTGTTGTTGTTGTTGTTGTTTATTTGAATTAAGAAAGGTAGATTTGTTAAAGAGAAGATAACATTGTGAAGGGCACAACAGGCAGGACAGCAGCAAGAGTGTCTGCTGTCTGCTGCTGTCAGCAATGTTCAATATCCAGTGAGGGCTTGCTTTCTGCTTCATAGATGACAACTTCTTGCTGTGCCCTTACATGGTAGAAAGGGTCAAACAAGCTCCCTCAGGCCTCCTTTATTAGGGCACTAATCCCATTCATAAAGGCAGAGTCCTCGTTACCTAATCATGTTTTGTTTTTTTTTTTTAAGAGACTGGGTCTAGCTCCATTGCCCAGGCAGGAGTGCAGGGGCATGATCATGGCTCACTGCAGCCTTGACCTCCTGATGCTCCTCCATCTCTTAATCCTATTGCACTGGGGCTTAGGTTTCAACATATGCATTTTGGGGGAACACAAACATTCCGACCATAGCACCTGATTCCTCTGAATGATAGCTAAGTCCATCATTCACCTGGGCTCAGTTTCCCAATTTCCAAAAGAATGGTTGTCCAGTTCATAGACCATGTTTAAAGTCACAATTTGAGGTAATAACTAGTGAAAACGACAATAAAACCGAAAACACTGGAGACCTTAAAAATCTACAGGAGATATATTTTTAAATGAACAAAAACAGCTACAATTTCTTGAGTGTCTATGTGTGACTGATACTCTTGTGTGTTTTATAGAGCCTCATTTGTTTCTATAAGCACCACATATGTCACCATCATCATTTTACAAATGAAAAGACTGGGGCTCCAAGAGCTAAAACAGCTTGCTCAAAGTCACCCAGCTCGTAATCTACAGATCTGGTAACACAAACACAGATCCATTAGACTCCATACTCATATTTTTTGCACATATGTAGCAGTGATTAGAAATGCTCCAATTACTTTAACATTTACTGGTTCATTTTAAGACATTACATTTTATAGTCCTGAAAAGGTTATTCCTAATGGATAGTGGCCAGTATTAGTAACATCTCATATATGAAAAGTAATTCTGTAAAACAGTTTCCGTTTCTCATCTAATTCTCACAACATCAGGAAGGAGGTATTTTAATCCCCATTGTGCAAATAATGAAAATTGAAACACAAAGATACTACGTGCTTCGCATAAAGAAACTAAGTAGGAGCTAAACTAAGGCTCTGCCAAGGCACAGAAAATGGGATAACGGACATTGAAGACTCAGAACGGAGAGAGGAGAAGAGTGGAGAGATGAAAAATCACCTATTAGGTACAATGTGCACAGGTAAGAGTGGTGAGTACACTTAAAGTCCAGACTTCTTTGCCACCATGAAATGAAACCATGTAACCAAAAACTATGTGTACTCCCCAAAGCTATTGAAATAAAGAAAAAGTAATAATAAAAGCCTAAGGTTATCTGGGGGAAAAAAGAAACTAATAAGTGGCAGAGCCAGATTTTATGTATAGGTTTATATTCGAGATGAGGGACTCATGCTATGTTGCCCAGGCTGGCTGCAAAACTCCTGAGCTCAAGTGATTCTCCCACCTCAGCCTCCCTGATAGCTGGGACTATAAGTGTGCCAGAATGCCACACTAGAGCCAGATTTTAAACAGGAGTCATTGTACTCCAAGTACAATGCTCTTGTCAATACACCAGTGGAAATTGACTTGCGATTGTGGGATTGCTGAACAAAAGATTGGGGGTAGGGGGAGGTGACATTTAAGGCTTTAAAAAAATTTCAAATGATTTCATCCTCTTTCCACTACACATCCACCAGAGTAATCAACATTAAGTTAACTGTGTACCTTCCCGTTCTTTTTTAAGTACTAATAAAAAACGTATGCAAATTTATATTGTTTTGCATTTTTCATTGATTTAAAATACTATAGATACTACTTGCAATAAAATATTTTTTCTTTACATCTTTTCAGGTAAATATGGATCTGATTAATTTTTTAAATGTGAAAGAATTTACATAAGAATATGTTTAAGACAAAGACAGTATTTCAATTCAACAAATATTTTTGGAGCATCTACTATGTGCCAGGCACTGTTCTGTGCTTGCTGGGGATACACTAATGAATGAAACAGACAAAATGTTTGCTCTCTCTCTTTCAGTTTCCCAGTCACTTTGCTTTTATCAATAACAGTTTTACCATATGTGTTTGCCAATGCAACATATACTTTATGATTTTAATAGTTGCATAACAGTCTCTAGTATAAGTATATTAGAGTTTATTCAACCACTTCTTTATTGGTTGACATTCTGTTTACGTTTTGTTCTGATTTTTGCAATCACTGTTGCAAGGAAGACCCATGTGACAGGTCAAGCGTGGTGGTTCACGTCTGTAATCCCAGCTACTCGGGAGGTTGAGGTGGGAGGATCACTTGAGGCAGGAGTTCAAGACCAGCTTGGACAATACAGGGAGACCCCCATCTCTACTTTTGTTTAAAGACTCATATGACATATATAATATATATGGTTTATTATTGATAAAGAAAATCAGTCTGACTTGAGTGGACGCAAACTACCAAACAAACCCATCCCTGACCACTTGTTCTCACTAACCCACGTCTTCATTCCCAGGTGTGCTCACGGGCTCCGGCACTATCCACCTAGGTGGTGCTGAAGCAGGTGCTCACTCTCCGCTCTCGGCAGCCATTCCCAGCACAGCCAGAGTCTCCCCTTACTTCAAAACACCACCCGCTGTCAACCGACCTGGGCCAGGAAATTGATCGCGCTTAACATGCAAATCTAAACTCTGCGGGGTCGCCTGAGACGTCCTGCCAAAAACCCTTTGACCCGGCCATTGTCACCAGCATGCCTTAGGCACCTGCCCGGTTGCCTGCTACATAGTTAATAGCTCATCCTTCCAGATTTGAGTCAATATACGTGATTCGTTACCCACTGTCATTTCCGAGACAAGGACATGTCTGGTGGAAACGCACACCCACAGGGTGTAGCTCCTTGAATGGAGCTTTTATTGCTTCATCTTGCGTCCATTCCCAGCCCAGCGTGGCCCACAGTCCACTTTGGATGGAAGTGCGCCTTCCCTCGGCCATTTCCCCTAAGTTTTGGAAAGACTCCTATTTCCTGAAATTTAAATCACCAGCCAGCGGTTTCCTGGCCCGCTTCCCGTCTCCCTGTGCCCTCTCAGCCCTCTCCCGCCTGGCTGGGGTCGGATCCTCGAGCAAGAGTCCACATCCCTTGGTTGGCCTAGGCGCTATCCGGATCGCGGGGGATCTCGCTCCCGCGTGCGGAGGTCGCTGGCTCGCAGCGCCTTCCCAGAGCCTCCCAAACCTCCTCTCCTCCTCCCGCCCGGGGCTCTTCGAGGAGGAGCCTGCAAGTCCGCTTCCCCAGCAGAAGGGGATTGTGGTGCGTAAACAGGATTAACTCCCTCGCCCCCAGCAATCTGCGCGGAGG